TATGTTGTGTTCCAGCAGGGATTAATCCTCTGAAAGGCTGGCTTACTTGTGCAGGACGAGTCAGGCTCTGGGCCTGAGCCTGTGGGGTGGTATGCTGTAATGGGGGCTGAAGAGTCTGAGGCAAGGCAATTAGAGGTTGCCCAGTAGATCCAAAATTAGGTAAGGAAAGCTGGGAGGCTGGCAAAGGTACTGTAACCTGCTGGAGAGCACTTGGTGACTGAAGATACAGGCTCTTGATTTGCTTAATCCTCTCTTGATGTTCCTTCTCTATCTTCTTCCCTGACTTCTTATCTTTGACCTACTCTTTTAATGTACTTTTCCCAGGGCCTGCATATCCTCTGTTCTTAAGACTTCTATTATCTCCTCCAAACAGAAGATATGCAGAGAGATTTTCCACCAAAGCCCCTCCCCTGACCTCCAGCCCTGCAGACCACCCATTTCCTGGCAGCTCTGCTTGACTTACACACCCCAAACAGAATTCTATTGACTGTGAGGGAGCCCAAATGGTATAGTCTGCAGGGAGCTGAGCGACTAGCCCAAAGGCCGTTGCCCTCTGGCAGTTCCAATCCACCATCTGCTCAACAGAGTAAAAATGGGCACTCTTCTCCGCATGATTTATAGCTTTGGAAACCATTGGAGGGTGAGCTGGGAGTTAGTGCCTATTGACAGGTAAGTTGAATTTGAATTGAGTTTTCCTGACTATTAGCCCCGATGTGAGCCTCTTTCCCAGGGGATGGCACCATTCTCAGAGCCACTAAGCTGCCTGGACCAGAAGCCTTATTCTCTGTGATCCTCAAAGCCCATTAATTGACAAATCCTACCCACGTCACCTTGACAGAGCTTTCTTCTCCATTAGAGAGAATAATGATGCTCTCTAACCTCTAACTCAGGTCCTCCACCTTTCCCAGACTGCTCTCTACTGCAACCTCTTCCTGCCTTCCCGCATCCAGTCTTGCCTGCTCCTGTTCATGCTACACAATGATATAAAGGGATAGCCAAGTTAGGATTATTCTATAAATTCAAATTTAGTTTAATATCTTAAAATGTTGTTCTTGTTGTTAGGTGCCATTGAGCCTAGTACAACTCATAGTGACCCAATGAACAGAGCTGAACCCTGTTCTATTCTCTGCCAATCTCACAATCTCTGACATACTGAGAGCCCATTGCTGGAGTCACTGTTTAATCCACCTAGTTGAGGATCTTCCTCTCTTTCTCTGTTCCCCCATCTTTCCAAGCATATGTCCTTCTCTGAGGAACAGCCCATTCCTAGCATGATGCCTAAAGTATGAAAGACAAAGCTTTGCCGTTTTTGCTTGCAAGGAGCACTCTGGCTGTACCTTCTCCAAGACATGTGTTTGTCTTTTGTCAGTCCCTGGGATATTCAGTATTCTTCTCCAACACCACAGCTCAAAGACATCAATTTTTCTTCTGCCGTCCTTATTCATTGTCCAGCTCTCTGCAGCACAGCAAATGATTGAAAGATTATGATCCAAATCAGTCACACCTTAGTCCTCAAAATAATGCCCTTGCTCCTCAGCAATTTGGAGAGGCCCTTGACTGCAGACTTTCCCAGTGTAATATGTCTCCTGATCTCCTGACTGCTAGGAAAGATGAAGTCATTGACAGTTTCAATCTTTTCTCCATCTATTATGATAGTGCTTATCAGTCCAGAGATAAGAATTTTTGTAGGCATAGAAATGTAAATTCATTTTTAAAGCTGCAATGATCTATCTTAAAATGTTTTGTTTGTTGTTGTTATGTGCCATCGAGTCGTTTGGGACTCATAGTGACCCCATGTACAACAGCCCTAAACCATGCTCTATCCTGTGCCAATCTCATTGCCTCTGACAAACCCATCCCGAGTACCCCAGTCACTGAATCAATCCACCTCATAGAGGATCTTCCCCTCCTGCGCTGTCCCTCTACTCTACCCAGCATGATGTCCCTCTCTAAAGACCTGTCTT